TTCTCCTTTCCTGATTATAAGTACTCCCAATGTGACCCCTTCTAGACTCAGGGCTTTAAACACCACTTATATATCAATAAGCACCAAATTCATTTGTGCAGCTTAGATCTCTCTCCTGAACCCTAGACATGTGTAGCTCATTTCTCTGTGCCTCTATTTCCTGTGCTCTAATGTGGGGGTAGTAATGGTACCGAGTTCATATTCAATAGTGTTGGAGGGCACATGGACCCCTAGATGCGGGGGTCCTTTGTGGCCACCATCTGCTAATGAAAACCAGGTTCTTTGCCACTTGAACAAAGAATTGGACAGGACACACCAACAGCAAAATTAGAGAGATTTATTAAGATTGGGGGGGCTCGAGCATGAGAGTGACCCAGGAGCTTCAACAGTTACATTCTGGGCAGTTTAGATCTCTTTCCCTGAGGTCGTGTTATACATTCATTTGATGGGTCCAGTACATGTGGGATGAGACATCTGTGTTTGGATGCTCATTGGACGGGCCCAGTACCCTGCTCTGTTTCGTTGGCCCATTTCAAATGTTGCCCTGGTGGGAAGTTCCTGCCCAGGTGTCCTGTTGCAAGAGGCTGCTGCTTTGGACATGTGCTCATGCCCTCAGTTCCCCTGCAGTAGCTTTCTACTCTTCCTGCCGCAAAAGGATGCTTCATGCCTGTGTGTATGCCCTGGCCAGCAAGCTTCCTGCCATGGAGAGATTCCTGACCCTTCTCTCCCATCTCTTTCCCATCTACCTGCCTCAACAGTATTTGTACTGGATGTTCTGTGTTTGTACCGGCAGATCCACTTTCCACCTTCTTCACCTGCTCGGTGCCCAGGAAGCTGACCTGTGTGGACTGCACGGAAGTGCTGTCTTGCTCTCTGGCTTCTGACTGAGTGCAGTTCAGGGTAGGCACCAGCTGGGCGTGGTGGCTCACACCTGTAATCCCAGCACTTAGGGAGGCTGAGGTGGGAGGATCTCTCTAGCCCAGAAGTTTGAGCCCAGCCTGGTGAGCAGAGCAAGATCTTGTCTCTACCAAAAGATTAGCTGGGCATGGGGGCGTATGCCTGTAGCCTCAGCTACTTGGGAAGCTGAAGTGGAAGGATAGCCTGAGCCCAGAAGTTCAAGGCTGTAGTGAGTGTGATTGTGCCATTGCACTCTAGCCTGGGCAACAGAGTGAGACCCTCAACTTAAATAAATAAATAAATAAATAAATAAATAAATAAATAAGGCACCATCAAGTGGTGGGATGGAGAGAAGAGAGAGTGTTCTGCTAACTTATTCTCCCAGATTTCTCCCTGTCAAGCCACAGATCAATGGTTGCTGCCTTCCTGTGGAAGGCCACAGCTCCTACTTGGCCAGCCCATGTCTACAACCCTGTCTCCTGGTTCCAGTGATCCCTCTTTCCCTGTTCCTTTTGGCAGCCCTGCTAGTGCCAGCTCTGCTCATACTTTGACAAATAGTCCCCTCATGAAACTCTGCCCAGTCACCTGGGTTGAGTGTGCCATTTGCTTCCTGCTGGGACCTGACTGATTCAGGATTGCTACGGTGACCACATAAGCTAATATTTGTAAAGCTTAGAGCAGTTCCTGCTATGTAAGTGCAACAGAAGTGTTTGTGAAATACATAAATGGATAAACTGTCCATACAAGCTTCCCATTTAGGTGTCTAAGACTCACTTTTTAAATTCCCCGCCCTTCCTATATTAGGGTTCTCCAGAGTCACAGGTACCAATAGGAGGTATATGTACATACAAGGCCCAACAATGAGGTTTGCGAACTCATCCTAGAAAAAGTGTTCCATGCCTCATTGCTGAATATCATTATGGTTACCTTCGAAGTACTCCCCTTTGGAAGCTATGCACTGATGCCAGTGCCTAGTCCGTCCATTTAAAGCAATTCTGGAACTCTTTTTTCAGGAATGACCATTACAGCTGTCATTGTTATTTGTTGAAGTCTGACCATTAAGTTTGCAAACTTGCCACTGTGTGCCTACGTTGGCAACACTGTACACTGTATTGGAACACCCTCCCTGCTCACCCGATTTGGCCTCCAATGACTTTTTTCTTTACCCAAAGATAAAGGAACGATTGAAAGGAAGACATTTAATGACATTCAGGTCAGCAAGGGTAATATGATGATAGCTTTGATGGCCATTCCAGAAAAAGAGTTCCAAAATTGCTTTGATGGGTGGACTAGGTGCTGGCATCTGTGCATGACTTCCCAAGGGGAGTACTTCAAAGGTGGCTTAGTGATATTCAGCAATGAGATATATAGCATTTTTTTCCAGGAAGAGTTTGCAAATTTAATTGCAGGACCTGTATATACATCCAACCCACAGACTGTGAGTGTGTGTGCATGAAGACATTTATTATAAGGAATTGACTCCCTTGGTTATGGAGACTGGTGAGACTAAAGTCTGCAAGGTGGGCCCTGGAGACTCAAGAGAGTCAGTGCCACAGTTTCAGTCTCGGACCATCTACTATAAAGCCAGGAAGATCCCATGTTGCAAACGCAAGCCTGAAGGCAGCCTACTGGAGAATTCTTTCTTGTTTGGGAGGGGCCAATCTTTCTGTTCTATTTAGGCCTTCAAATGATTGGGTGAGGCCCACCGTCATTGTGAAAGACAGTCTGCTATATTCAGAGTCCACCCCTTTACATATTAATCTTACCCATAAACACTCTCACGGAAATATCCAGAATAATGTTTGGCCAAATGTCTAGGTGCCCCATGACCCAGCATAGTTGACATGTTAAGTTAATTATCATACTTCCCAATATAATCCCGCCCGCCCCCCAGTTTTTCCTTACTTCCTAATGACCCATGCATTCATTCACTTACTCATCCAAGGCAAAAATCCTGGAGTCACTCTGAACTTTTGTCTCTTATGTCCCACATCCAGTCTATCCTTCAGCATGTTTCTAGAACCCACTTCTCACCATCTCCACCACTGCTGCTGTGCTCCAAGCCACTGTCACTTCTCACGAGGATTATGGTCATGGGCCCCTGTGTCCTTCTCCCACTCTCACCCTGGCAGAGACTATTTTCACTAGGACAGCTACAGTGCCTCTCTAAAAATGTGAACCACATCATGTCCTTCTAGATCACTCGGGGTAAAAGCCCAAGTCCTACAATGGCCTGTGAAGTTTTACATGATCCAGTCCTGACTCCCTCTTTGGCTTCATTGCACACCTCGCTTCCCCTTGCTCACTCTGTCTGGCCATATTGACATTCCTCTGTTCCTTGAATTTGCCAGATGTGGCCCACCTTGAAACCTTTACAAGTAGCCTTGCTACTTCCTGCACTTGGAAAACTCTTCCCCCCCGTCTCCTATGTCTCGTACTGTCACTTCACCAAGCTTTTCTCCTAGATGCCATCTCCTCAGACAGACGTTCCCTAGCCACCCTAACCAACAGGACATCCACCATTGCTTGCTACTCATCATCCTTATTTTTCTTTCTGGCATTTAACCTAACATGAAGTCATATATTCATTTATTTGCCATCTCCCCCATTAGGATGTAGCACTTTGAGCACAGAGACTCCTTGTCTGTTTTGTTCACTCCCGTATTACCTGGGATTGTGTCTAGAATATAGTAGACAATAAATATTTGCGGAATGTATGATCAGATTTGCTTGTGCGTATTTTCCTAAGGCCTAAGGGTAGTAACTGTGTGCGCCTGTGTGCATATTTCTTCACAGGGGCTCAGAGCACGCCCACATCTGATTTATCCTTCCATCATCTGGTGAGAAGGGGAGGAGGGGTATTGTGGCTCACAGCCATCATCGGAATGAGAATGTTTAATTCTTGAGGATCGTAATGCCCTGTTTTGAAGGTGAGAGTACCCACACACCTTCACTTACCTCATGAAGGGTTGAGGGATATATCTTGACATTCTGTCTTGGAAGCATTTATGCATTTTATAAGGCTGTACATTTTGCTATGAGATCTAGAGAGCATGCATTGACTATGTACCAAGTCAATATGAATTTTCAACATTTAAAATTCTTGCCATACTGAGGCCAAGTGCAGTGGCTTGTGATCCCAGCACTTTGGCAGGCTGAGGTGGAACCATTGCTTGAGTCCAGGAGTTCAAGACCAGCCTGGTCAACATAGCTAGACTGCATCTCTAAATAAATAAATAGGTAGGAATGGTGGCACATGCCTGTAGTCCCAGCTACTTGGGAGACAAATGTGGGAAGATCATTTGAGTTTAGGAGTTCAAGACTGCTGTGAGCTATGATTATGCTGCTGCACTCCAGCCTGGGTGACAGAGCAATGCCCTATCTGAAAAAAGAAAGAAAGAGAGGCCAGGCATGGTGCTCATGCCTGTAAGCCCAGCATTTTTAGAGGCCAAGGTAACAGGATTGCTTGAGCCCAGGAGTTTGAGACCACCATGGGCAACATAGTGAGACCTTGTCTCTACAAAAAATTAAAAAATTTAGCTGGGCATGGTGGCGTACACCTGTGGTCCCATCTACTCGGGAGGCTCACTCAGGCAGAAGGATTGCCTAAGCCCAGGAGATTGAGCCTGTGGTGAGCTGTGATCCTGCACTACAGCCTGGTTGACAGAGTGAGACTTCAACTCAAGAAAGAAAGAAAGGAAAAACAAAAGGAAGGAAAGAAGAAAAGAAAAAATAAAGGAGAAAAAAAACCCCATGATTTTTGCCACACTGGAAAAACTACAATCAAAAGTTGTGGTTTCAGGATTCCTAAGTATAGAGGTGGTGACATGGAGGAATGGTTTCAATACCCTCTCACATTAACACTAACGACCTTGTGGTGTCCTGTGAAGACTGTTACTTGAATATATAACTCCCTTTCTCCCCCTACTCACCATGAACTGGATGTCAGTGAAAATTTATGATTTTACCATTCACAGATGTGTATTTCTTTTTTACATCAAGATTTTCTCAGGAGGAAGATGCCATATAATAAACTTTTCAAGATATGCACTCACAACCCAGCTCTCTAATTATAATTCTATAGTCAGTCACATGACCAAAAGGACATTTTATAATGAGTTTATTTGTGTACAAAATATGTTGTAATTTGTTGATGCATGTGCAGCAAAATATTCTATCACATACAACAAAAATACACCTTTTCTCTCCCTTTCCCCTGCCCTGGAAAATGGCAACACTGTTTTGGCAATTCAGCAGCTAAAAATAAAGTGCTATAATTAAGCAGTACTGAAATGTCTTCACTTGACACATGTGATGTACAATCGGAGTTTACAACCACATCTTTTTGTTGTCGTTGTTTTTCACAGAACAGGAAGCGCCACATTCTGCACACCTCCAGAAGATACAAATATTTGTATATATATGTACACATGTATACACTGTATATATAAAGTGCCAACCAGCCTCTTTGTCCTTGCAAGCTTGTTGCGTTTATGTTCATTTCCTCCGTCTTCCAAAGTCAGGTCCACACCTCTGGGGTCTCAGAGTGCCACGGCGGGCACCTAGAAGCTCGCCGGGGACTGGCGTGCTGGGCGTGTGGCGCTGGCGAGAGGACACGGAGGAGCCCTTCAGACCTCACTGGGCGACCTGGAGCGGAAGGGCACTTTGGACGGGAAACAGCCGCAGAACAGCAGCCACAGGGCGCGCTGGATCTCCTGGTTGCGGAAGGCGTAGATGATGGGGTTGATCATGGAGTTGTAGGTGGCGGGCAGCAGCGTGGCGTAGGTGTAGACAGCCGGGTCCTCGTGGCTGCCCACCACGCAGTAGATGGCGAAGGGCAGCCAGCTGGCTCCGAAGGTGCCCAGCACCACGGCCAGCGTGCCCACGCCCTTCCTGGTGGCGGCGAGGTGGGGCGGCGCCAGGCAGTGCTGCTGCAGCGCGATCTGGTGCGCGTGGCGCCAGACCACCTGGCAGATGCGCACGTATAGGTGCAGCATGACCGCGAAGACCGCGAAGAAGGCGGCGGAGAGCAGCGCCACGTGGCTGCGCGCCAGCGGGCGCACCACGCTGCAGGCGGCGCGCTCGGCCAGGCAGTTCCAGCCGAGCACCGGCAGCAGCCCGAGGCCGAGGGACACGGTCCAGGTGGCGGCCAGCAGCAGGTGCACGCCCAGCAGGGTCCGGCGCGAGTAGTAGGTGAGCGCGTTGTAGAGGGACAGGTAGCGGTCCACCGTGATGGCCAGCAGGCTGCTGACCGAGGCGGCGAAGGAGGCCACGAGGAAGCCCACGGTGAGCAGGCTCACGGTCTCCGAGGGCACCACGTACTGGAATACGAAGTGCAGGATGAGGCCGCAGCCCGCCAGTAGGTCAGCGGTGGCCAGGCTGCCCACCAGCACGAACATGGGCGTGCGCAGCGCCGGCGTGGACGCGATGAGGGCCACCACCAGCGC